GGCACCTGGTGGTGATCTCCTCATCAGTTCCCACCCCAGGCTGGCCAGACCCTGGGTGAAAACCCATCAGGAGGGGCTTTCTTGCCTGGTTGTGGCCACATCCCTGTGCCAACCCTCACTCAGGGCTGGGGGTTCAACCCCAGCACTCCAGCTGGACACTGTCCTGTTCAGCCTCACACAGCTCAATCCCTGCAGCCACCTTTCTTCTTCTAAAGCCTGTGTGGGCAGGAGAGACCCCTCTACATTGCAGCCCCTCAGCACGTGCTTGTTCCATGTCTCCTCAGGTCATGGGAGGACCGTTGCCCACTCAGGGACATGCTTGCTACCTGACTTAGTCAAGTGGTGGTTGGCAATCACTAGCTGTAGATCTGCTAGATCTGGGGCCAGAAATCAGGGCCCACCTCCAATCAGGGCCCACCTCCAATCAGGGCCATGTTTTCTACTAGCAACCAGCTCTCCTAGGAGACCCAATTCCTCCCTTCACGTGAGCACAGAGATAACCACATGGTCCCCATGACCCCTGCTCCTCCTCACCACAGCCACATGTGCCACCTCATCTCCTGTTGGATGTCAAGTCCCTCTGGGCTTAGCTGGTGGTCCAAGCACATTTGACCCAGCAAATGGAAGGTGGATGGGATGAGTCTCCTCTGATCAAAGCCTCTACAAGAGAGAAGGGTTGCAGTGGGCTCAGAGCTGCTGTCTGCTGCAGGTTGCCACTGCTGTCACCAGAGGAAAGCCTCCCACAGCAATCAGAGGTGGCCAGGGGTCTCCAAGGCTCAGACCAAGTCCCCAGAAAACTCTCCTTGACTCCCCTGTGCATAAGTAGATCAGAAAATGGCAACGACCAACCAGGGTGAACAAACAAAACCCAGCAATGAGGGGAGTAAACACACAAGTGAGAAGGAAATGCCATGCTTGAGATCCAGGCTGGAAACGTGCAACCCAAAATGGCAGGAGGGAAATAATCTGACCTTCAAATACTCGGTGGGACCTGACCTGCATAAAGCACTGCTGGCTTTTCACACCCTCACCCCAAACAAGTTTCTCCTCCTGCTCAGGTGGCACCTCCTGGGTTCCAGTTGGTGCCCGTTGCCCCTTGT